TCTCAATTTAAAAAAAAAACAGTCTTTTTTGTTCTAAAGAATTAAGTTTTTCCCGATTATCTGCTTGGGGAATCAACTAAAGTATGAGTCAAATACTTAACTCCGTAGGATGATGAGAGCCTGATGACTGAACTATTGAGCAGAACTCTGAGATAGGGTGACCCTGGAAACATCAGTAGTTCTGCTTCTTTTAAATATATTAGAAAATTGCTTATAATTTACTAAGTGGGGTTATAATTTCAGAGGAGATTTTGAGCTGAAGAAATGGAAAATTATAAATGAAGAATACAGAATTTCTTTCAAGTATCATGATGACCTCTCGTTAAAAACTATACATTTTCAGATCAACATGATTTTTTAATTGCAGAGACATATAGCTTTATTTTGTTGTTTCATTTTGTTTATCTAAGAGTCATCTCTAAGGAAAAATATTAGTACTAAGAAGTTTTAAGAATCTAGAATTTTTTAACATAATTATTCATTACTAATAAGACAGCAGCTTGCATTTAATGAACAGCAATGTTCCAGGTATCTTTCTTTTGAAAAATGAACACTTTCTAGTATAATTGCCATCAGTTTACAAAACAGGCAACTCAAAGGGAGGTTCCTCCTGTCTGGCACTGGGATCCTTGTTATACAGCCTTCAGATATACTCATGCACTCATGTTCAGATACTATATGTGTATTTTTCAGGGGAGGAGTTGAGTTAATACATTTCCCTCTATATTTTTAGGTCATCTAAGTTTGGAAGCCTCTCCATGAAGGCTAGCTCTCTAAAGGATCCTATGCAAGCTGCATAGGGAGAAAAATCTATCAACAGTGCAACCCAGCTCCAAAACCTAATAAGCACAATGACTGTCACAGCAAACTGTTCTATTGGTGCAGTAGTGGCACTGTTATCTGGGGGGTAATCAACAGCTGTGTATTGGACTTAAAGCCCTCTCAATGGGAGGAAACTCATGGGCAGCTCTGTAAATACAGCCAAATACACATGGCTGAAGAGGTAACAGATCCTAGAGAAAACCCCATCTCTGTCATCTCTAGACAAATGAAATTTCTTACTGTACCCTAAGTATGGATCCTTATATATTCAGACAAATATACCATATACAACTCATCAAAGAAGCTTCTTTTTGCAATTATTGGAAGCTATTAAGAGTTCCACAGCTGGTCACACACAGAAAATATATATCTGAGAGATTCCCATCCCTAAATGATACATCTACTGTGAAACATCTACACCTAAGGCTCATGCAACATAGTGGAACAGGGGGTGCAGAGAATACTAACATCCCTCAACTCTCACCAGTGAAGCTTCCTCATACAGCAGAGTGTGATGCACACAAAAGACTACAACTGGCTAAGTTTTACAGAATAAGAGACTGCAGAATTTGTGTACCTGGTTAGGACTCCTATACTAATCCTCACCCACCCACAGGCCAGGAACTATTGTGAATGAGGGACAGAAAGATTGTAAGAGCCAGGGTTGGTGCATGAACATAAGGAAACAGAGGCTTTCAGGCCACTGGGAACTTGCTCATATCAACTTGCAACAATGGTGATGGCATGCACAAGACCCATGCCAACTCAGAAAAAAGCCCAGCATAGAATGCGGGAAATGGGCAATAGGCCCCAATCCTAGCCTAGGAAATATTGGTAACTTATTACTGATGGGTGAGGGAGAGTAGATCTTCTTTAAGGGAGCAACTCTAGCTAGGCTGATTAGACTCCAGTGGATGAACTTGTACCAAAGGACACTGGGTACAAATGTTTGATTGTAAAGGACTTAACATATATGACAGAATAATGAAATCTAGTTGGGGGGGCTTGGGGAGAATGTGGATAGGAGAGAATTTTACATTTGATTAAGATCTATTCTATAAAATGCACAAAAACTCAATAAAATATTTTTAAAAGAAAGGGAGAATGACTTAAATGATGAAAAATGATTTATGATTGGCTCATTGTACAAGCTTCTAAAATAGTCTATGTACTAGTTTATATTCCAAGGCATACTAGTAATATGTTCTCTATCTCTCCACAGAAAAGATATGACAGTGGCAAAAATCCAGATGCTGGAAGCATAGTCAGAAAGTGAAAATTTTCAAAAATTTTCAATTTTCACTGACTTTCCTCTAAGTGATTTGATCTGATGGCGATGACCTTACAGTTTCAGTTTGCCATGTGCCTTGACACTGAGTTCAGACCTGCTCCCTCAGGTTCTATCTAACTGATCAGGGGCAAGTTCAAATTTACATTCTTATCACTTGAGTCTCTCAACTGGACCATAGCAAAACTCACTTTCAATTATCCAAGTAAAATTATTTATGAAAAAAGATTTAATTCCCAACCTAATAATAACTCACCACAACATTTTCTTTCTTTAAACAGGGCCTCACTATATACTCCAGGCTAGCTGGTTATTCGCTATGTAACTTAAGCTAGTCAAGAAATCATTGACTAGCCCAGGCTGATCCCAAACTCATGATAGTCCTGCCTCAGTCTTTCTAGGGGTAGGATTGCTGGCTGTACCACCATTCCTGTCTTGGATCATCACATATTTTGATACTGCAATTTTTAGCATCCATTGACACACCAGCCAAGGACAAAGCACTATTCGTTCCTGACAGCCTAACAGCACAGGTCTCTGTGACATGGAAAACTGAGAGGAAATTTCTAAACCGTTCATCAGAAAAAAGTATAGTAGCTTCCATTGAGTATTGTGAATTCAAAGTCTGCAATCTAAAAGGGGTAACTATTACTGCTTCAGTTTCAGTGAATTCTTTCAACAGATCTCTGGAAAGTCCCACAGTGTTTAGTCTAGAAGACCAAGATAAAGTAGCTCGCAATTTACCTCACTAGAAAACAAATGTGGGAGGCCAAAAGAAGCACTTCAATGGAGCAGGGCTGTACAACGAGAACAGGGAATCTAGCTGAAGGAGCAATGTCATTAGCAAATCAGAATGCCTTGCTGCTTCAATACACTCCTGAAAACAAAGATGACCATCGATGTACCTGGATATGACCAATTAGGCCCAAGTTCTAAGCTGTGATTTATTACACTGCATATGTGCAGGTTAATACATTGCTCCCAGGCAGGTCACAGCAGAATCTTCCCTGCTTTTCTTCTGCCCTGTAGACTTGGTGTCACCAAAGGTCTTAAGCCTCAACCAGTCATCTGACAGCTTACAGCTACTTTGGTCTGCTTTTGTTTGAGTTGGGGCATGGAATTATGTTGCTTCCAGGCCCAGTTCCAGTTTTCTTGTTTTGATTTTAAACTTTCTTGCAATGAATGAATCATTGAGCCAGATATTACCTAAGCAACACAGTTCAGAACTGGCTTGCAGCGCCATACCACCAATTACTGTTGTTATTACCTATGTTATCACTGAATCAGAGAAAAAGACATTTACACAATTGATACTATTTTTTTTTCAAATATCAAACTGGTAAATTTTTAAATTTTTAAAAATTTAGTAACCACGTGATTAGAAGAAGCATTTCATTACAAATTTAACATGTTCAGTAACACATTCCAGAGCAAGGATATATCTCTTTCAAAAATGGCTGCAAATTTTTAGGTTCACAGTTGAATTAATACAGTTGTACAATATTGAACTCAGTATAAACCCTATAAGACATAAAATTGAATGCTTTTTTACCCTTTAAAGAAGATCTTCATCTCATTTTAAAATATGCTAATTTTTTATAACTAAACTTACCAATGATATGACCAGAGTGAAATATTAATATATACAAATTTTGAAATTAAAATTGGGTAAAAATATTATACCATTGTGATCTGGGAATTCTCAAACTCTAAACAATCAGTAGGGCTAGGGAAATGGTTCAGACATTAAAGTGTTTGCCATGAAAATATGAAGACTGAAGTTCAGATCCCCAGAACCCTGTACATTCTGGGTAGGTAGAGTGGACTAACTGTAATTCTTTGCTTGAAAGACAGAAATAGGGATTGCCAGAGCAGGTTGGATATCTACACTAGCCATATCGGTGAGCTCTCTGTTCAGTGAGATACCCCGCCTCAATGAATAATACAGAGAGCAACTGAGGGAGACTGCCGACATCAGTCAGGAGCCTTCACACACATATGCATGCACATGTGCCTACACATATATGAACACACATATGCCTATTACATACATACACATAAGAAAAAGAAACAATGAGTAAGAGAAACAATGATACACAAATGAAGGGAGTTCTTGCAGGACCACAGATAATCAAGAAACACCAGAAATCATTTCAGAAACTAGAAATTAGATCAGTAAGTTATTTTACTACCACATATCTAGCTGTGATGCAGACAAAAAATTTAAGATTAAGGATAACCATATACTTGTTATAAAACAATGTTATTTTATATATAACAATGCATAAAGCTAAGTAAAATGAAGTTTTTTCCCCATCAAGTTCATTAACTGAATATTCTTTTTGTTACAAAGTTCCAATTGGATGCAAAGTCATAAGCATTCATAGCTTTTGGATCTTGTCTCCAAAGAAAGCAAGAACTATAGAATATTGTTATGAAAATGTTCAGGTGGCTTTTAATAGCTGATTTCTGCTACTGGAATGCAATTACCAACATTGACCACCCCTCTATTTTGACCCCTACTGGCGTTCACAATGCTGAAAGAATATGATAGAGTACACTATTGTTAGAGTGGGCCACAAGCCCAATAGATAAATTTCATTAGAACTTGGCAACAGATCTGACTCACAAAAATATCTAGCTACTTTTTCTCATCAGACCCCAAATTATGACATTTCAATTATTCATTATAAGGAAAGATTTCAAAAATCAGTAGCTAGTACTCATTAAATTAGTACGCTACTCTAAATCACATTTAAAACATCCTGCAAGATTTTATTTAAACCCAAGCTTCTATGGTATAGAAAAGTCTCAAAATTATAGCAAGCTAAATTATATTTTGTGAAATATACCCTCAAATTATATAAGCAAAGACACTTGGAAAACTCACATAAAAGAATCCAAGTGGTCCAGATATATACGGCATTTTTATTCCCAGGAGATACTTGACTTGTGAAGTCACGACATGGGTGGCAGCCCCTGTTGTCATCGCGCTGATCACGGGCTCTGTAAGCAGGAACGTGGCACTGCCCAGCTGAAGCACAAACATGACTACCTAAAAGGACAGAGGGGAGTCAGGAAAAGCATTCAGGGGACGTTCCCCAGGTTCCTAGAAATGTCAGACACATTTCCATTTTTGTTTTTATAGAGTTATAGACAAAGAGTGAGTTGAGGTAAATGGGTTTCTTAAATTCTGTATTTTCAGTATATTTTTGAGAGCATTACCAGGGTCTAAGACTTTCTGAATTATGCTAAATTAGTATGCATGGTTTAATTAAAATTAACGCAACATTTTTCTTTCTGAATGCTGACTTTTCTTTTTCTCCTTTCCTTCCCCTACTATGTTAGTCACCCTGTTTCTGTTTTGATTCCTACTGGAGTTCATAATACTGAAAGAATGCAGCAAAGTCTAGGAGAAGCAAGTCTAGGAGACGGCTTCCATTAGAAGGGGGAAGGATACACTAGAGTCACTTAATATGTGCATCTCTGTGGGAGAAAAATCAAATTTGTATTCATTTTTTAAAAATAAGAGAGAATATTATTCATTACTTATTACCCAACAAATCAAAAACTTCAAAGAAATGGAGAAGAGGAAGACATTTTTTTCTAGGCTTCTAAAAAAGTGGGAGAAAACTCTAAAATACCACTCTAAAAGGCTGGTATTAGTAAGAAGACATTGGGACTTATTTACATGTGGGGAAGACTGATAGAAATTGGGAAAAGGATATATTTTAAGGGGTAGTATTTTATAGAAATTCTAAAAATCATTTTCCTTATGACTGCTAAAGGGGTAGTATTTTATAGAAATCCTAAAATTCATTTTCCTTATGACACGTTTTCTTATGACTGCTAGCATCATCCTCCATCCCCAAACTATTTCATGACAAGACAAAAGCCATCAACCTTGAGCAGAAGCCACTTACTGAGCTATGCCTGGCACAGATGACAACAAGAATCAAAAGTCTCACCACTTCAATGATCAGAATTTCCTTTGTTAGAGAGGGAGTTTAAGAAGATGACTTTTGACTTGCAACTATGTAAACTAAGTCAAAAGATCTGTAAAAAGTAGTACTTCTTACTCTGAAAGTAACACTAAATTGTATTTGTGAGTGTCCTTGCCAGAAATGAGAAACCAGACCATGTGTTAATAATAGTATCTAGGTCAAGCCTTAAAATTCTTGTTGGACAATAAAATTATTAAAGAAACTAGAGGGAAGAATAGCAATGAAACTTCCTGCTATCAAGAAGTTAGCAATGAGAATTAAAAGTTCAAACTGCTATCTGGTACCACCTGAACATAAGTTGCAAAATATATGGCATCTTTGTTTTGATCACATTGCAATACATGTTCGGGCATCAGCAATAATGCTCCCATGTTAAAGTGGAGTTTCCTGAAATGAATCTGAAAACTTAGGTCATGATCCTGTTGCTACCACATCCTAGATTTGTGGCTTTAGAAAACCAACTGCTGCATCACTCTCTGAGCTGCATCATCATTCATAAATTATTAATGGTATGTCCTGTTCATGTTTTAGAGTTGTGCGAAGGTACAAGTGAAGTGATACAAGAAAGGTTTGGAAACCTGTAAAACAACAAAATAAATGGTGGAAAAAAATGCCATAACAACACAGTATGGAAAACCAGCCATCAGTTTTGAAAATGCAGACATGGCCACACTACATTTTCCAACTTTGGAAACCTTGAAACAATGTCAGTGCAGAAAGAAATATATTGGAATTGTTTTCAGTTTATCATCCATCTTTTATTTAAAATGTCATAAAGAGAAGAATGAAGATTATTAGTTTAGAATCAGAAAGCTTCCATTGTCAACACAGAAGCTAAGGCTATCAAGTCTGTGAGTGCCATATTTGTTTCAGAAGCCTATGTCACTTTGGCAAAGTAGAAATAAAGTCCTGATAGAAGCATTAAGCAATCAAACTTAAGGACACAAAAGGAACACAGGGATCTTTGTGGTCTCTCTTGACACAGTCTGTTGGTTTTCATTCTGAAAACATGATCAATTAAGAAAAACATTGAAATAAAGATTCCCACGTATCTCTCTACTGTACAATAATTCTAATTTATGGTATTAACTATTACAGGTCATGGGGTTGCAATTAGCAAATTATTAGGGTACAAAGAATACCAGCATTGGGTTCATCTTAGCTAAATGAACCATACACATAAAAAGTTCTTATCTTCAAAACTGTGGAAGCTATTTTCATAAATAAAATGTTATGCATACAAGGAATGTTGTGAAGTTCTTACCTGTATAACAAGGGTGTTATCAACATCATTTTGAGAAACTAATTCTTGGTGGGGTTGGATAGACTATCACCATTTCAAATTCTGGTTTTTATTTATTTCCTAAACGACAGGGTCTATTCAGATGGATTAGTGAGTTGTCATGCCTGAGAAATCTAAAGTGGTCACTAACCAAAACTAGTTAAACCATGATCTCCTAGCTACAGTTCTGTCATTGCAACAACCTAAAACTTAGAAACAGAAAGGCAAACTATATGATATAAGAAGTCAACTATTTCAAGTGCTAAAAATATGTAAATCTCTCTTGCAATAAAAATGAAAAAAATGGAATATCCTCTCTTAAAACAACAAAAACTCAAAATATGTTATAACATGCCATTTGCCCACAGTTTTACACTTTAACAAAATTCCCCAAGTAAGGGACAAGTTCTTAAAATGAAGAGTTCTTGAGTGAAAGGTCAACAAGTTACTTAAGAACTCATTTCTGACACAGACCATTGGACTTGTGGAGAATGATTGCAAACGTGGGGAGAACTTGATTTCTTGTGGATCAGAACATTCTCCATAACCCAAAACAATGCCAGATATTTTTGAGGAGGATGAAGAGGATGAGGACGAGGATAAAGAAGAGGAGGAGGAGGAGGAGGATGACGACGAGGACGAGGAAGAGGAGGAGGACGAGGAGGATGAGGACGAGGACAAGGACAAGGACAGGGTGAGGACAAAGAGAAAAAGAAGGAGTGGAATGGGTAAGAAGAGGAAGAGGGGAAGGAGAGTATTAAAGGTCTCCCTTTTCCCATCAAATTTCCACAGTTTGTTCATATAGGAACTAAGAATTTGGCACACAGAGGCTGATATATACAACTTGAAAGCAGCAAATAGTGGAGCAGCACCGTTTTGAAAAGGAAGACCACAGACCAACCCATGTTTATCTTCAAACTTGCATATGTGAAATGGGGGTCCTCACAAATATTTTGCTTGGGGACTCAGCATTAAAATTTTTATATTCATATTAAGGATTTTTTTTAACTTTTACAAAAACTTTATTGAGAATTTCATACATGCATATAAGGTGTTTTGATCAAATCCATGCCCACTCCCTCCCCTCCAACATTCTCCCCTCTGAAGAGGTAACCCTAAAATCTTTTAAGGGTTAGATACAAGCTCCCAAATACTTGTGACATTTTTGGCCTTTGGAACAGAGTATGTTGTTAACAGGACCAAGGACAATTTGACTTTGAGCCAAGAAACTTGCTACATTTCTTTGGGGTCTTTTTACCCTAACTACCTAGACAATTCCTATCTCCTATTCTTATCACACCATCCTCTGAGGGGGTTACCCAAATTGCCAATAGGGAATAGGGATGCAGACCATTCTGGCTTCTTCCATGCTGAACAGGGACGCAGGGTGAGGCAATTGGAGTACCCCTTCAGTGAATCTATCTAAAAGACTCCAAAATTGCATAACTCATGTCTCTATGGGGAAAAGAAAGTCCTTGCATCATGAATAGGGGATGTGAAGGAGAAGTAAAGGCAAGAGTAACTAGCATTACAAGTTCTAGACAGGGAACTAGAAAAAAGTCAGAGCAGGGCAATTTTCAAATGTTTTTAAGAGCATATCATAATAAACAGCCATATCAGCTCCTTTTACTAACAATGTGAATGGTAATTATTGTATTCTGGTTAATCAACTTCCCTAAATGGCCATGCAACATTTAATGAGAAAATAAATTTCATGCAGTATCGTCCAGCTGTTCGTAGCAATACTGATGCTCCAGGGTAGTACTGCAATCCTCTGACATATATGATCAAGGTTTGATGTACTGTATTAATTGATAATACTTGTATAAGCACCATGTGTTCTACATGAATTAAATGCATCTTAGCTATCACTCCATTTTTTTCAACTGATGTTCAAATATTTTTGAAAGCATGTATAAGAAACAACTATTCAAATGGATGTGATACAGTACATATTTCAGGTGATGTCTCTTTGTTAGCGATCTTTTTCACTATATCAAATCATTTATTCATCCGTTCAATGGGTATCCATAGAATACCTATTAGGATGCTGAAATAACATTGTTGTCTATTATAGCAAAAGACAGAGGGGCATATCTTAAAATAGAATAAAGAAAGGTGACACAAAGAAACTAGTAGAGAAGAATATTAATTAGGACCATACAAAGACTAATACAGACATTTGGAAAGTTTGAAAGGCTCTGAGGGTGGGACCTGAAAGGCTAATTAGTGCTGTGGTGTTTGTTGGATAACATATACAGGTTGGGAGAGAAAGCAGATTGCTTATGACAAAACAATTAAGCACTGCACAGGGATGGCAAAAAATGCTCTGTATTACCAGAGGATTTGAAAGAGGAAAATCAAATTGATATTTATGGAGCTATGTGTTGCAAAATTCAACACCCAAACCCTCCTTCATTCTATTAAATTTAAAAAGTGATGATCAAAGACAGAGTATGCAAAGATATGGAGAAATCTTGAATTTACATTGTAAGCAAAAGTAGATAGTATGACAAGGCTAACTACTTCATGATTCCCTTTGCATGAAATTACTTAAAATGTAAGACTACAGATACAATATGTATATCACTTGTTTCCAACAGCTCAAAAATAAAGGAATGTGGGAGGAATGAAACACAGGCTCTGTCAGACAGTGAAAGCATTCACATTTTGCTGTAATGACTGATATGTAGACACTGTGTGTTATCAAACCTTCTCAGCATAAGAGTGAAGCCCAATGTGCAAAAATTCAAATTATTTTGGAAGAAA